TGGTAGAGATAGGGTCTTGCTATGTTGCCCAGACTGGTCTCAAACTCCTGGGCTCAAGCAATTCTCCTACCCTGGCCTCCTTAAATGCTGGGATTACAGGTGTGAGCCACTGTGCCTTGTCCACATTCTATGTTTTATTATATAAGAACACTGCTTACATTGCCTTTCACAATTTTGGAGAGAATAAAATTTCGTTCTCTCCTGATTTCCTCTAATTTCTCTGACCATTTATTCTCATTCCTCTTCAATATGTCTTCCTCCTATTCATCCCTTATATATTGGTATTCTCCAGAGTTATGTCATTTTGATTTCTTCTTCCTCCTCCCAATATTACTAACTCAAATGACTACAAGAGCCAAGTAGGTACTATAAATATGTGAACTGGGCCAGATGTAAGACAAAAAGAAAGGGCAGGGTTATAGCAAGCTAGAGTTACAAACTGCCTAAAAGCATTCACGTTATTTTAAAACACTGTGCCACAAAGCATGTCTGCAGGTAGATTCAGCTTGTAAGCTGCTAGTGTGGGACCCTATCTTCTTGACTGCAACTGCTGTCAAACTTCATCTATGTGCTGATAACTCCCAGTGCATCTTCTCTGTCTCTAACCTCTCTCCTTCAACTCCATCTCACATATGCAAATGCTTATTCACATCTCTCCTTAAGTGTCCCAAAGGCACCTCAAACTCATTATGCCCAAATTCATGATCTCTGTCCTTTCTTCCTCCTGCCAAAAGCCAGAAATTGAAAACTAGAAACAATAGCCCTTCTTCTTGGCCTCCCTGTCTCAAAAAATGGCACCCCCAGTTTTCCTACCTTTGAAGTCACAAACCTGGGAGTCATTCCAGATTCTTCCCTCTCTCTAGCCTTCCAAACTCAGTTAATCATCGGATGAATTCCATAGGCATAGTAAGCATTCACTGAGCACCTAATCATTGCCAGGTACTGTCAGATGCTAGGACTGGCCACAAAGAGGAATAATAAGCAGACTCTGTCCTGGAGGGGGAGACAGATAACAGTATCATTAGGACATGTGGTGGCAGCAGAGGGGAGAAATGCCTCACAAGATGTTCTGGGAGGGGAGAAGGGATACTTTGATTCTATTTCCTCAGTGTTCCTCAAATAGTCTCTATTCTCCATCCCCATGGGATTACCTTTCACCAATTATTGCCATGGTCTCCTAACTGATCTTCATGCTTTTAAGTTCCCACCTCCAATTTATCTTCCATATTGGGTTAAAGCAAGATTTTGAAGTAGCAAGTCTGATCACATCATTCTCATATCTTGCCCAAAACATGTCCATGCATCCCTCTGTCTTTGAGGATAGACTCTAAAGTCCTTTTGGAGTGACTTGTAAGGTCTCCCACAAACTGGCCTGAATGACTTCTCTAGCCTGTCTTCCACCATTTAGGACATAACACCATGCCCTAAACATGTCAAACCACATACAGTTCTGAATGTCTTTGTGTGCCTCATGTTCTTAGTTATGCATTCCCTCTGTTCTGTGCTACCATTTTTCAACTGCCCAATTCCCCTGTAATCTTTGGGATGTGAATAAAATATCACAAAACTCCTTCTCTGATCACTTTCCCTCATAAGATGGCTTCTTTTAGGTGCTCTCTGTTACAGACCTTCCCAGTGCTGCAGGCTGACAGCAGGGGCAGGAAAAGAAACTTCCAAGGCTTTCTGCCAGGTTGTTGAAGGGGGCCATGGCATATCCTTCCTAGATGTCTTTGAGAACAGGCAGTGTTAAAAAATAATGGAGTGAAAAAAAAGAAAAAAAAAATAATGGAGTGTGGGGCAGATAATGGTGAAAGAGAAGACTAGGAAACCAGGTCTGTCTCTGGCTGTGTGTGGCCTTGAGGGCCCCATGAATCATTCAAGCCTACAGACCACATATTTTGAGGATATATCATAAACATGATATATCCCACCCACTGACACTCATGGCACCCACCCCTGCCAAAATGCAAAACAAAAACTGAACAATGGTGAGTCACCAATCACCAATGAAACAATGAAAGGGTCTTCTTTGGCTTTTGAATGCTAGAGGCAGAAGATCAGAATGAAGGTCAAGAGGTCCTATAAACAATAATGGCAGAGAGGAGTGAGCTCAGAAATCTACCTTAGTAAAAGAGCCTTCTCTGACCCCTCAAATTAATTAGGTATCTCCTTTCTGCATTTTCGTGGCATTTTAGACTTTCATTTATTATCATGTCAGCATGGTATAATTTTGTTTTCATGCTTGACTTCCCCTCTACACAGAAGTTCTAGGGTAGGGATTATGTACACTCTTCATCCATAGTACCAAGCATGGTGCCCAGAAATGCTTCTGAAATAAATAATAGGGGAAGGAGAGGAAAGGAAGTTTAGGTAAATAGGTTTTAAGGAGAGGAGTTTGGTGTTAAAAAGGGATAGATACAACAAATTAGTGTGATGTCAAGAAAAATTTCTTTCACTATGTCAGAGACATGAGGAAACTGTCAAGGAAGTGCATAAAGACATATATAAGAACATTGTTCCTGATTCAGGCCCCAGAAGTAGGAAAAATAAAGACTACTGTCCATAGCACTGCTGTTTACAATAGAAATAAATCAGGGGGGAAAAAAAGCCAACAACAACAACTCAAAAGGACTTGGGTGCTCACATCTCCACAGGACCTTCAAGCTCAGTGTCTTCCCAGGTGAACTCAGCAGTTGACTCCCAAGTGTGCTTCCTGTGTTCCCCATGGGGCCACTATTTCACCAGCTGACTGAAACAAACTGGAGATCCATTTTTACTCATCCCTACACCAGCCACCTAGTGTTGTCATTTCTCCTCCCTGATATCTCATGAGCCCATCCTCGTTCTTGTCATTCCTCAGTCCCACCTCTTGTAATCCTTTCTCCTGTTTCAGGCAATGACCCTTCTAAAGCACAAGTCTGATGCTGTCCTTCCCTCCCTGCCTTGAAACTTGGGCTGAACTCATAATAAAGTGCAACCTTCTTAGCCTGACACTCAAGGCCTCTTACCATACTTATACTCCAAATAGGCCAAATCACTTGCAAGTGTGTTTCCTTCCTTCTGCATGACTCCTAGCCTTTCCTAGATTCTTTCAAAGTTTCTAACTGCACAGGAGGAAGTTTCTCCTGCCTGCAGTTTGGTAAGGTGCCCTTATTGAAGCACACACAGCTCCCTCTGCTTGCTCTGTCCCTGTAGTCACCATACTGCTCACTCACTGTAGCTATTGGGAGGCAGCAGATGTTTCTTATGTGTCACTGTTTCCCAAGCCTCTGCATAGATGGTAGATGATGGGTGCTGAGGGGCTGGGGAAGGGGCAGACTCTACCTAGGGTCCCTGGGGCTTTGGAGTAGGAGAGCAGTCACCATGGCAGGGTCCAGATGGGGATGTGTGAGGTGCTAATCGGGCTGGGGACCTGGTCACAGCCCCAACAGGGGTGGAGGAGGCTTTCTACCACACCCTGAGAGCATTCTCTGCCAGGCTGGAGCCTCTGCAGGGGGCTCCCAGGGTTAAGAACACATGTTGCGCAGACATGTCCAATTCTGGGGACGGGGTGGGGGGTGACCATTGGCTTAATGATGGAGCCATGCTTTCCTCAAGTCATTCTTCATTCTTTATGGTCTCTGAATTGCAGAAGCAGAAATTGCTCACCCTCAGTCTGAAGCTTTTCGTGACTCGTACAGAAGAAATGTCATCAACAGCCTTTTGTTTGGGCTTGACTTGGGTGAATGTGCCAGAAGACTTGTTCAGAGGAGCCTTTTCTGATGTCATTTCTGTTTGTCTACAACTCTGGTCCATGCAAAGTCATTCACAAGTCAGTTTTTTCTGAGGCTCCGAGGCTGTCATCCTCTCATTCCTGCTGTAGCCCATAGAGCTACTGTGTAAAACTGCCTACAGCCAGGAAGGGGTGGGGGCATGAGTCAGGCCTCCCCGTAGCCCCTCACTCAGCAATGGCATGTGCTGTGGCCAGATCAGGGCCAGGCTGAGATGCTGTGGGGAGGGAGCACCCAGCTAAGTTTCTCACTTTTCAACCTGACTTGAATGTCAGTAGTGCCCTGAGGTTCAACTTCAATTTACTTCCCCCAGATGGTGAGCTGGGACCATGCCTGCATTTTTCAAAACCATTTCTCCAGTGTTCAACACAGTGCCCAGGACCCAATAAAAATGCACTACATGAGTGAACAAACAGACACAAAACACCCAATTATTTGAGCTAATTCCATCAAACTCAATGTTTTGAAGGAAGAATGATACAGAATTTAACATATACTTAGAGTCAATTTAGACTCAGCCCACTGTTGGTAGCACTGATGTTGCTGCTGGAAAGGATGCCCAGGTTCTGGGCCCAGCAGCACAATAGGCCTGGGTGTGCTGGAATGCACAGGTAGGTCAGCAGGATCCTCCCACTTCCATTTTCCTCCCTGAGCCCAAGGAGTGTGGTGATAGGACAGATAAAGGCAAGGGAAATGGGAGCTGTCTCCAGTTCAGTCAGTCACTAAGTGGTGTCAGAGGATGAAAACTAGATAAGGATTAGTGGAGGACCCAGGAGAGAACTACAATGCAGTGTACACAGAGTGTTACAGATAGAGGCATCCACAGAGCTGTGAGAGCCCCAAGGCAGGAAAAGCTTCACTGGGGAGGTGACATATGAGCCAGAGATTTAAAGATGGAGAATACGAGGAGGGACACTCCAGACGGCACATGTATGTGTATAGCCCTGCTTTGTCCTGACCCCTTCTGAGGAAAGAAACCTGCCATAAGCAGTTCTTTGACACTGAAGTTGCTTGTTGAAGTAAAAATACTGGTTTTTACAGCAAAGGATATGGGGAAGCATTCCAGGTTGGGAGAATGGCACACTCAGGACAAAGGAGTCAAAGACTAGGTTCAGTAAGGCAATGCCACCCAGGGGTCGGGGAACCAGGAGACATCAGCTCCCTGGTGCTCTGACAGTTCCGTGAGTGGTCAGAAACCTTTTTACTAAATTACCAGTTATCAGTTGCATCCTGTGTGGCTGGAGTTGCCAAAAGTCACACTTCCCCATATGTGGTGGTATTCCTGTATCAACAGATGCCAATCAGCTGGGTTTGCATGTACAGTCTACACAAGTCCTGACAGCTCCCTGCAAGACATATTACCAGAAGCTCTTTACGAGAGCCAAGGCAGTCAGAGTGTAAGGACAGAACAGTAATAACACTTCCCACCCCTGACGGAGTGATCACTGCAGGTCAGGCACCTTGCCACATGCCTCATAGGCATTATCTCATGTAATCCTTGTAACTGCCCATGAGGTAGGGACTGCTATTCCCATTTTTCAGATAAGGAGGCTGAAGCTCTACATGACTAAGGAATTTGTCCAAGGTATCACAGCTAGCCAAGTGAACTCAAGCCCAGGTTTGCTTAACTCCCAAGCCTAAGCTCTTTTCACCTGCCCAGACTGCAACAGGGGAGCTTCCAGCTGTGTTCAGTCTTTGCTGACAGCAAGAAGGAGATGCTAGGAACCCAGCATGGGGACACAGGCTCCAACCACAAAGATCAATGAATCAATGGTGAGGTCAGGTGGCAAAAATGTTCCCCACAGTGCCAAGAGATGAGCATGGTCAGACCACTTCTGCTCAAGCTATAAAACTACTTCCTGAAATCCAGGCCCATTCTCAGAAAAGGTCTAAAATGCAGCCAGTAATAGGCCTAGTCATGGCCCGGGGGAGAAAAAGCCACCTCCAGCTATAGAGAATATGATGACTGTAAGCACATAGCCCATGTCCCTCTGCTACCCTTTTTGCATCCAGCTCCCACACCCCACCCTGAAAGGAGCTCTGGCCTGGGGCCTGGACTCAGAAACCCATGGCAGCTACTGACCATGTTTAAAAAAAAAAAAAAAGGTCACTGCCACTGAGGAAGGATTCTTTTTGTCAGGGGAAAGACATGGGTTCCTAAAACCTAATTCAACCAGTGGTCATACTCATCACAACCTCAAGTAAGAGACCTACGGCTCACAGAGGTTGGTCCTGGGAATCCAGATGCATGGCAGAAATGGCTGGCTTCCTTCCGCGAATGCTCCTCTGTGGAATCTCTGAGAACTGGAACAAAGAAGGATGGAGCCAGGCTCACCCTTTGTTACTGAACCTGCACCCTATGTGCAGCTGTGCCAATGATGACAGCTCTCCTTGGTCACACTGCAACCCTGAACCCTGTTTCTTCAATAATCTAAGTGGCAGCAAAGAAATGCATCTCTATGATGGTCAGTGGCTTGGCTGGAGTGACCCACTGGAGACAGGGCTGAGTCATGAGCTCAGGCCTCCTGGATGAGACGTCCTTCCCACAGTCTTGGGCATGGGGGCATGGTTTGCTGTACTCTGCCCTGTTGCCTCTTGCTCTTTCTTTTTAAGCTGAAGACTAGGCTATAAGTAGAAATGGCTACAGCAGGGGCAATTGCTGACCATGTTAAAAAAGGACACTGCTTCTGAGGAAGAATTTTTATTTCCATCAGGGGAAAGACATGAGCTCCCAGGACCTATTTCAACCAGTGGACATTCTGATTGCAACCTCCTTCAGGGAGAGAAACCCCTTGGGAAAGGGACCTGGATATCAAGGACACCTGTGCAGGAAGAGAAGGGCACAGGGGTAGAGGCAGGGGTTTCAAGAGAATCACAGGTGGCCTAAGGGCAAACCCCCCAAGCAGAGGGGTCGGGAAAATGGTAGTCGAGACAATCAGATTATGTGAGTCCCAGTGTGAGTGAGTGAGTGAGTGTATGGAAAATTTTGAGTACGTGCTGGTGAGTGAGTGGGTGTGTGAGTGACTGAAGGAATGAGGGCTAGGGAGCTAGCGGCCAGGGCTCTCCTGGTGCAGCAGCTGGTGCTGCAGCTGCTCAGCTTGGACCCTAGCAATTCCTGGGATGCAGAAGTTGAGTGACATTTTTTTAAAAATCAACGAAACCCTTCCTGGGAAGAAAATGCTGGGAGAGACTGACTAAGTGGGGCTTGTGAGCAAGTGGCCAGGGCCCTCATGGTGAAGCAGCTGGTGCTGCAGCTTCTCTGCTTGGTCCCTAGAGCTTCCCAGGTTGCAGAAGCCAAGTACCATTTTTAAAAAAACAGACAAAAGTTTTCCTGTGAAGAAGCAGTGGGGAGAGACTACTGGCTCAAGGCTTAGCCTCACCATTGCAGCAGGAGAGACTGCCAGCTCCAGGCTTTGCCTCACTCCAGTGCCTGGCTGGACACTGGCAGCAAGGACTGTGGAGGGAGCCCAGAGGCAGAGTTCCACCAGAGAAGATGAAAGAGGTACCCTGCCAACAGTTTGAAAACGGGGCAGGAAAGTGCTCCAACTTGCTCACCATGGAGCAACAGACCTGATCTCTGTGACTGGCAGATCAACTACTCAGGGGTTGGTCGTTACCTAGAGGGAATATCCTGAAAGCACAAACTTTGGAGGGACCTAACTAGTGCTGAGTCTCAGGCACCCGACCCCCTACCCTGATCCAGCCATGGGACAAGGGGTATGGTCAGAAAAGGATGAGGAAGAACTCCAAAGAGATTAGAGGTGAGTCGGGGCTGACCCAACCTTCCTTCTCCCCAGCAATCCTCTGAACATCAGATCCATACAGCTGGGGCATGACTGAGAAGGACAAACCTAAGTGGAGCCTGAACCTCAGTCACAACAGGAGAACTCCATTCCAGGATAGGCCTGGCTGGGGTAACCCTGCAAGTAGCAAGTAAAAACCTGGGGAAGGGACAATCCTGCACCTCCCCAGCAGAGGGTATCTCCCTGACCATACAAGAGTGGGAGGAGAGGACTGCAGCCACACCCACCCCCACTGCCCCTCCTCCTTCCCTGCTCTGGATACTGGGGAGAGAGTGAAAGAGGTGGAAGCTCTGCAGGAGATAGCAGAGCAGATGAGAGGAACAATTATAGAACCTGCCACAAGAGGGCAGAGATTTTTCTTTTTTAAAAATTTAAACATTTTTTTTCCTGTTTGTTAGTTCATCTATTTTTAAAAATATTTTTCCTTTGTGCATGAATGTGTATGTGAGGACTTGATCTGCTCCCTCCTTTTTTTCTTTTTCTTTCTTTTTTTTTGTTTTTTGTTTTCTGTTTATGTGTGTATGTGAATGATTGAGTACTCATCTTTTAGTTTTTTTTTGTTGTTGGTTTGTTTTTGCTCTTTTGTTCTTCTCTTTTTTAAAATTATTTTTAGTTTAAGGTGTGTGTCAATATATGTGTGAGAGTTCAATCTGAATTCCTTTGTTTTGTTCTGTTTCCAATCTTTCTCTTTTTCTTCTTCATTCGTTTTTGTGCTAGGGCTGTGCGTGTGTGTATTTAGTTTTTTTGGTTTTTGTTGTTGTTGCTGTTTGCTTTGTTTCACTTTGTTGTTATTCCAGTTTGTTTTGGGGTGTGTATGTCTGTGTGTGTTCAATTGTTTTTTGCTATGGTTTCTGCTTTCATTGTTCTTTTTTTTTCTTTTTCCCTTTTTAAAAATTCTTGCCCATATTATTTCATTCTATTTTTCTCTGTGCTCCTCATTGCTGTCACTATGTCTTAGACTCAGGGAGTACACACACGTACCCACTGCATCATCATATAAAGTGGTGGTGGGGAGTGGGTCTCAGGGAACACATATCACAATCAGTGAACAATGTAATTTGCAAGTAGTTTCTGAATTCTAGCTCCCTATCCCCTACCTTATTCGACTTTCAAAACTACAAGAGACAGCAGAGCTTCCTACCCACAGTCCTGTTTCAAAATAGAACAAATCCAGAGTACAGATCAGGGAAGAATAGAGGGCTGAGCAAACATCAGAAGGGAAAGCCTGTCCCACTGACACTGAATAATGGAACTAAAGAGAAAAGCAAGAGATCTGTCACAAATGAGGAAAAACCACAGGTAATATCAAGTGTAACAAAGAGAGAACTCCTGAAAAATCACACCTTGCAGTCAAAACAATGGAAGTCACCAACACCTGGCCTCAGATACAATAGGGATTAGGGAATGGATGGAAAGAGTGAATAAGACTCAAGAAAGACAAGATGCAATACTGAAAGAACTTGTAACAGAGATTTTAAATAATAAATTTCATCCAGGAAATAACTAACAAGATGACAAGCATGGAAAGCAGAATTAACCTAGCTGAAGAAAGAATCTCAGAACTTGAAGATCAGAACATGGAATTAACCCGATCTGTAAAAAACAGAAAGAAAACTCAGAAAGTAAGAAGAAAGTTTACAAGATGTATGATTATATCAAGAGGCCAAACTTCTGCCTGATTGATATACCAGAAGAAGAAAGGGAAATAGAGAACACCTTGGAGCTAGTATTCTAGGAGGTAATACAAGAAAACTTGCCCCATCTCACCAGAGATGTGACTAGCCAAACACAAGAGATACAGAGAACCCCCACAAGACGTCAAACGAGAAGCCCAACCCCTAGACACATAGTAATTCACCTACACAAAGTAGGCACAAAAGAAAAAAATCCTAAAGGCAGCAAGAGAGAAAGGTCAGACTACCTACCAGGGAAAACCAATCAAAATAGTAGCAGACCTATCAGCAGAAACACTACAAGCAAGAAAGGACTGGAGTCTAATATTCAAAGTCCTCAAAGATAAACAATTTCAACCAAGAATTTCTCACCCAGTCAAGCTTAGCTTCATCAGTGATGGAGAATTAAAATCCTTCCCAGATATCCAATCCCTAAGAGATTATGCAGTTTCCAGACCAGCTCTACAGGGGACACTTAAAAGGTATTAACCACAGAAGAAAGAAAAACAAGAATGGCCACACACTTCCCAAGAGAACAGCAGAGCACAGAATCAACAGAGAATACAGTACAACAACAAACTTGAAAACACACATACATCAACCCCAAAGCCAAAAGAAAACAAGTAAACAAAGAAGCAACTTTATAAGAACCTCAGGACAGGGATAAACAATCACATTTCAATAATCAGCCTGAATGTGGATGAACTAAATGCCCCACTGAAAAGACACAGAATGGCAAACTGGATAAGAAACCATGACCCATTTATTTGCTGCATCTAGGAAACTCATCTCCCCACAAGGGATGCACACAGACTCAAAGTTAAAGGATGGAAAGTGAGTTTCCAGGCAAATGGATCACAAAGAAGGCAG